ATGCCAAAAAGGGATAGGCAGAAGATGCATAATTAGGCCTGACAAAGAAAGGGGTTGTTTAGAGGACAGAAGAGAAGTATTTGAAAGAAAAGAGTAAAGGTGACAAAAGTGAAATGTAAGTATGCAAACTAAGAACTAAGAGTGTAGAAGATCTGCAGGTAAGATGAGAAATTTGGAAGATCTGCAGGTGAGAAAAGAAATTTGGAAGGTAACCATCAAAAAGACATGGCAAAAAGGAGGAGCTCTTTTAAGAAAAAGAAACTAAGCATGAATTTGTTTTGTTTTGGTCTAAAAACTGTCTTGTATTAAGAAGTCCAGAATAGAAATAAACAGATTGTTCTGTGCATGTCCTTAGAGGCATAGGTAGGAGCATTGTATCAGGAAACTATCCACAATATGTGACAGTATGTGCAGATGGCAGTATGTTGCACAATACTACAAAGCAGATATTGAAATCTAACATGATGTCATGGTATGGTGATTATTTTTCTGCTGTCTGTGATCTCTTTAACTCTGAGTTACACAGCAGTTAACAGTCAAAGGAAACTTTTATTTAATAGAAATATTAATTTATACTCTAAATTATGCACTCAAAGAGATGACGAGTGCCTCAAATAGTATGAAATGAAATTATATCTGGTTTGATATTTCCTGCAAAATCCAGTTTCAATATGAGTGTTCACAGTGAACATGTATCAAATCTTCATTAGTCAGTCAAGAACAAAGCCACCAGATGTTTTCTTGAAGATTTTACCAATGGAAAAAATGGCTACATATGCAGGAAAAATTGTTCTGAGTGGATTTTAAGGCCATCAAGAATGGCAGCATTTTATATTAAATATTAACTACAATAACTCTTAAGTATCAGTAGGCTCATATATCTAAAATTTGTCTCAGAATTGTTGTCAAGACAGCCACCATAAAGTCTTCATAAAGCCTGCTTTATGAAATCTACTTCACAGGGCCCCTAAAACCATGAAATCACTTCACCCATCTTTCTGTATGCAAATTCTGTATGGGTATTTCTGTATCCATCACTAAAATACTTTTGTTTTTTTTACGGCATTCCAAGCTTGTAGGGTGAGGGGCCATTCAGTTCCTATTGTTAGCAGAAGGCAACATAAATGCAATTTGACAGAGTGCAAATAGTTTGTACAGGTCATGACTCTTTGGTTACAATGCTCCAAACAGTTTCTAAATCTTGCAATGATGGTCTGCATAATCAAAGCTGATTTACTGGCAACTGGCCATCAGACAAATAAGAATATTAGCAGCTTCTTGCCTTTTCTTTATTGACCATTTGTATTTCAGTCAGAGCCTTCTAGTGTTAGCAGAATTTTAAAGTCACTAAATTTCCCATTAAAAAAATACCCTGCTGAAATATTATAGGTATTTTTTTTCTTTTAATAACTGGCATTATGCAAATACATCCATATACAGAAGACTTTTAGTCATTAATTTCTCCTAAAAGAATCAGCAAGATATTTTGAAATGCAGAATGTTTATCCATTCCCTCCTCAACCCCTGAATTTTTATTTGTTTCTTAGAGGTAGGAGATCACAGATGTAGCTGTTTTAACTCAATCTGTTTGTCTTTTAATCAGTAAATTCTCCCTTAAATCCATTTGGATGCAATAAACTTCACTACATTCTAACATTCTGTCATTATTCTTTAAAATTCCAAGTGTCCATCTCAGAAACAGCTAAGAACAATTCAATATGAGATGATTTCAAGACTTCAATCAGATTTCAAGAACATGGAATCAAAATTTTGCAAATAAAAATTTTCTTTTCAGGAAGAAAACCAAATTACCACATCCAATCTGAGTTTTCTCTCCAAAGGGAAATCTTATGTAATAAAATTTAAACAGTGATAAGAAAAGTATTTCTGTGAAATGAGTAATTATGTTGAGGAACTCCATATATATGTAATTAGAGAGGTCAAGAATTTAGTGGGGATTCAAAACCAGGTTTGAACACGAATTATGAAGAGTACCAAAAAAAATACATTGAAAATTTTAGTAAGCCTTGTGTTTCAGGGCTAATGCAATTTTTAACAATTTGGTATTATCAATAGTTGGAAAGAAGTAATTTCAAATCTCTGCTAATTGCTTCCCAAGACTTTCTAGTAATCACTCCAAAGAGGCTACAGAGTTCTGCTACTGTACAAAACTGGCCTTGTGTCTCATTCTGAAGTACTAATTACAACATTCCATATTTCTGCAACACTGTTAAGAGGAAAAATGTTCATCAGTGTAGGATTACAATTTGGCAGATGCTTAGTCTTTTCTTCATATATATTTTCTCTTAAACAGTAAGCAGCTGCCTGGGTGTAAAATGGAGCTCTCCTCATTAGAAAGGCACATTTACTATTCAAACCTCACTAATAATATTAAGTTTCTTGTGGTCAACAACGAAATGCAGATGAGGTCTATGTGTAGGCATGTACATGTGCATATAGATACATGTATGTACCAAATATTCTCCAAACAGTTGTAACAAAATATAATGTAATCCGAATGTAGGTCCTAATTAAGTTATATAGTAACATAGGTAAAGGAGAATATATTTTTAAGTAATATTCCAAATACTAATTTCCCTGGTGACATGAAAAGAAACAGCTATCAATTGAATAAAGTGCTGGCCAGATTGTGTATTTTCATATCTGAAATATCTACATAAAACGTCAAAGAGAAGTACTTTTTACTAAATGCGAAAACCAATGTATTAAACTTTTGAAGGTATGTTCACAAAATTTCATCTACTAATACAAAATCCCAGGAATAAAAATTTTAAAGGGGATAATTATATACTAAATTATTTCTTTTCAAGACTAAATATCATCTCATAAAAAGACATTTAATGTTTGATTTATTCACCATAGTTTTTTTTCACTATAATCCAAAAACTTGGAAATATTTAAAATCATGCAAATCACTAAATGGGTGAATATTCTATTTGTATTTTCCCATCCAACACTAATATTACAGAAGGTTATAATACTTTTCCCTGTGTAGACTCAGTGACTATGAAATGTTTAGACATTTTAGCCTCATTGTTGTATTTCTTACTTAAAAAAGGAATCAAACATTACAGTTTAACTATATTTTGCCCCTGCTCCTTAAAATACTCAATCCTTTCCAGCTACAATGTAATTTTTTTTCTGTATTTGTACTATCCCTTATGTAAAAACATAGTCCAATGTACTGTGTAATTTCATACTTTCATTTACTTTCACTAACATTTTCTGCTTTGCCTCTTCAGTTTTCTCTGAATATGTTCATTTTTTTTAAAGGGAACCAAATTTCAGGGGACATTTACATACAGGGAAAAATGGCAGTCCAGTTGTCTAATACATAAATTATCAAATAAATTTGTTTGAATTTATTTTTTTTGCTCTCCTCTCTCCTCCTTTAGACAACTCTTTTTCCAAACAAAATCCCTAGGAAAGCTTGAGTCTTCTTTTGGCCAGTTAGACTTATCTTTGAGTTAAGCATTTTGTTCTGAAGAACTTAACATTCACAAACTCTGTCCAGTTACTGTTCCTGACCTATTCAGACCATATACTTTGACCTCTTGTCTAGACCCGTGGGACAGATAAGGATATATTTATTGAGTTACATCACATATAGTGCTAATTAGAATACCCTCTCTTCAGTGTTGAGACAGGTAGTTCTACCATGTAGAGGCAGGTTTCTACACAGCCATGTTCTTTTACAAGGCAATGTGAAAAATTGAATGTTGCAAAAAATTCTTGTCAGTATTGCTATATGAACCTCAAAGGTGGAACAAATATAAGCAGATTACCATATGCAAATTCTTCAAGTTAATAATTAAAAATTTTTAATACAGTTGAGAAGCTTTTGTCTGTATTATCAAAGCCTATGGTAAGCAGCTGCAATGAATGAGGAAAGATCTAAACTTCAGTCATTGGGACTGCCTTTTTCTTCACCAAGAAGCTAATAATAAAGTGGATAACACCAATAAATCTGGTGTCTTTAGGTCTGGAGTAGAGAAAGATAAGCAGCTGTTTATAACCATAAATTAAAATAATTGCAGTTTAAGTTGTACCGTGTTATGACTTGAATACAGATCCCTCTAGCTTATGTATCATATGCAAGTCCTGTTGGAGCTAACTAAAGACAACTCTTATCTTCATTTAAATTGTGTCATTTAAATATATAATTTGTTTGATTACAGCCATCATTAATACCTGACTGTTAACAACATAGAATAAACTGAAAGTCTGTCTTGAACCTAGGAAGCAGGTTAATAGTAAGGCCAAATTTGAAAAAAAAAATCCTCTGAGTGCAAACCAGTGTGTCCTGATGCTTGGTAAAACGGACACAACACCTAGAACTGACTACCTGTAACAGTTTGCTTCAGATAAAACTTTAGAGTGTTTATGATTTTGGAAAGCTTTGTAACAAAGCAAGATATAATGAAAAGCTCTCACTAAATCACCCTATCAATCTTTAGTGAGATACTCTCAAAAATGCCTGCATGTGGGCATCTGTTTAAAAACTGTAGTTTAATATTTAGATTGGAAATAAAAGTTAAAGTTCTAAGAGAGTTTTTAAAATTTCTCCAGAGGACATGAGGTTGAACTGATTTTTTTCCCATAATAAGATTTTGCAAAGTAAAACTCAATGAGCAAATATCTTGATTTCATTGATCAACAAATGCCTCAATTCAAATATGTTTGTTTACTGTTACATTTGCTTTGTAGGGTTAGTATAAGAAAGCAGCAATATTAATTTACTTCAGATGACTCACTGGCATATACACAGGGACCTAATGCATTCAGTGTTACACATGAATGTACATTTTAGTGCAAGTTCATATACATTACTGACAATAAGCATCAGAAAAGGATTGTCATTACAGAAATTTACTGAAAGTATTTTAACACTTCTTTATATTACTATATAAAGGTAATGATTGGTAAAATCAGTTCTAGATTTTAGGATTTAATGAATTTAAATTTAAAGGTCTCCTTACCTTCTATTGCTGAGAGTAGAACACGAGAATGGTCATACGCAATTACATTCGCATATCTGTTCTTTGGTTTGTTAACTTCCAGGTTAGAGTGTTCCCATGTGAACTGCTGACCAGGATCAATAGACTTCAAAAGACAAAGAGAAAAAAAGAAAAAGGAAACTTTCAACTAGGGACTACATAATTATTTTATTTATGATAATTAGAAACTAAAATTCCATAGCTTGTTCTGGAAATAATTGCCTTTGAAAGAAAATTATTACTTCAGGACACATCGTAACATATTAGATCATATTACATTAACCATTTTGTATTTATGCATCTGAAATTTACATAAGGATTTTAAACTACAAGCTTTTAAAATCCAGGGCTTTTTCTTCAGAGAAAGCAAGCTATCCACCCTTTTATCTTGTTACTCATTTTGGAAAGTGAGGGGTTCTAGACTAACAGAAAATGAATAAATATCATAAATCTCAAAAACACTGGGATGAAGGGTAAAAAATATTTTTGCCTTTATTAGTAAGAACACATGTTCAAAAATTTCCCTGTCCTGTTTACTAAATAAACTCCAAAGGTTCCTGAAGAAGTTTTTCAGAAGAAAAAAAACCATTTCTGTTCTTTCATTTTGATGCCAGGCCAACCCACGGTACTAGTGCTGCTCAGGAAACTAGCTGCATTTCATCCATAGACAACATAAAGAAACTTGCTTTTCATTTCCTTGAGTCATAAATAAGTAAGCAATTCAGGCATATTTGAAATTTTAATGATGTCTTATTCATAAACATAACTAATCTTATTCATAAACAAAACTACATGTTTCCAGATTTGCTGTTTATTTTCTGTTCCATGGTGGAATTACAGAAGCATTCATCAAACTCCTTCATCCTTCACCACTAGGGAAACTTCAGACTCTAGTATTTTTACCTCTATGGCTTAACAATTTATGCAGCAAAGTGAATACAAAATAGGTAACAGATGGTACCTGTTTATGCTCACTATGGCAGTGGCTGTATCAAAGGTCATCTCATACTGAGAAGACATGAATAATCACCTATTGTTTTACTTTCCCTTTCTGTAACACTAGAGACCTTAAAATTGTTTCATCAATATGCATACACAACTATGGCTTGAGGTTTATGCCCTCTATTGAATCCTAGTATGAACTGGCAGCTCCCAATGACAGCTAGTAGTAAACTATCTAAAAAAAAAAAAAAAAAAAAAAAAAAAAAAAAAAAAAAAAAGATGACACAATAAGCCAAGGTAGGGCAGCTCACCAATACTATGCTCATTTTCCATGGCTAGACCAGCAACATGGCACAAGTCAGGAGATCTGTACTGTCACTACAGCATCAAGCCAACAGCTTTGCTGACTCTTCTCAGGGTATGACCTGTAATCTATTAGAGCAGGTATTACCTGACAATGAGCATGTGTGAAATTAGTTAATGTGATTTTCTAGGACTTATCCCTTAGACTGATAATATGGCCAGTCTGAAAATTGCTTACTTCTCATGCATCTTTACATATTTTATACAATTCATTTATTTAATATTTTGAGAATGACTTTGCTTCTTTATTGAGATTATTGAGAAAAAATTTTCCTGTCTGCCTGATAGAGAAGCATTTGTCTTTGGGAAAACAAATACCTCAGAACAACAAGCGCCTTATCCTATTAACCAATACCCTAGGCTCAATTAACTTTTATAGCAAAACATTATAAAGTCATGCATAACCTAGCTATGGAGAGTAGAGGAGTGGGATGGCACAGGTTCTGGCTCACCCTTCACCTACAGCAAATGAGATAGAGTGCTTGGCAACTCCTTCCTCAAAAGGAAATGAACTGGGACCATTTAGAGGAATGAGGAAGAAATTAAATGTTTGGGATCATAATGAAGGCCATGAAAATTCTACTTATACTTTGGATATGATTAATTTGAATTCGCAGAATTCACAGAATTACTTTGTTGGAAAATGTTACAGTGAGCTCATGGACATTCTGTTTCTCCTTCCCCAGGACCCTGTGACTCTGATCAAGATAACCCTGGACCCTCCTTTCTGCCCCAATGGGGTTGGCGGAGAGCCAGAGAAGCCCACCCTGTCCAAAGTCTATACAGACCCCTGACATTTCCTGTTCGTCCTCTTTTGCCCTGCTCTCCCCAAGGACATGACAGAATAAAGAGAGCTGAACCAAATTATCTTGGGGTAAGAGCCTCTTTTGGAAATCTTTGCCATCTCCTGATATTCCTCCCCTCACAGCCTCTGATCTCTGAGCTAGCCTGATTATTCGGGGGGCTGTTTGAGGGGGGGAACCACAGGAAAAGACCTTAAAGAGCATAGAGTCCAACCCATGCCCTAACACCTCAGCTAGACTATGGCACCAAGTGCCACATCCAATCTGTTTTTAAACACATCCAGGGATAGTGACTCCACCACCTCCCCAGGCAGACCATTCCACAACTTTATCACTCTTTCAGTAAAAAACTTTTTCCCTATATCCAACCTATATTTCCTTTGACACAGCTTGAGACTGTGTTCACTTGTTCTGTCATTTGCTGCCCCCACCTGACCACAGCCACTTTTCAGGCAGTTGGACAGAATAATAAGGTCACCTCTGAGTCTCCTTTTCTCCAGGCTAAACAACCCCAGCTCCCTCAGCCGTTCCTCACAGGGTTTGTGTTCCAAGCCCCTCACCAATCTCGTTGTCTCCTCTGGATGCGCTCAAGGGTCTCAACGTCCTCCCAAACTGAGGGACCAGAGCTGGACACAGCACTCAAGGTGTGGCCTCACCAGTGCCAGTTCAGGGGAAGAATGACCTCCTTGCTCCTGCTGGTCACACAATTCCTGACACAGCCCAGGATGCCCTTGGCCTTCTTGGCCACCAGGGCACACTGCTGGCTCATGTGCAGTCGGCTGAGGGCCAAGTACCTCCAGGTCCCTTTCTGCCTGGGCACTGTCCAGCCACACCGCCCCCAGCCTATAATGCTGCAGGGGGTTATTGTGGCCAAAATGCAGGACGTGGCACTTGGATTTATTAAGCTTCAGCCTCTTAGACTCTGCCCATCCATCCAACCATTCCAGGTCTCTCTGCAGAGCCCTCCTTCCTTCCAATAGAGCAACACAGGCTCCCAGCTTAGTGTCGTCTGCAAATTTACTAATGAAGGACTCAATCCCCTCATCCATGCCATCAATAAAGCCATGGAACAGAGCTGGTCCCAGCACAGAGCTCTGAGGGACACCACTGGTGGCTGGCCCCAGCTGGATGCAGCACCGCTCACCAGCACTCTCTGGGCCCGGCCATCCAGCCAGTTCTGAACCCAGCACTGAGTGCTCCTGTCCCAGCCATGGGCTGCAGCTTCTCCAGGAGTGTGCTGTGGGAGACAGTGTCAAAGTGCCTGCTGAAGTCCAAAGAAACATGCACAGCCTTTTCTGCATCTACCAGGCAGGTCACTTGGTCATAGAAGGAGACCAGGTTGGTCAGACATGACCTATCCCTCCTAAACCCCTGCTGGTTGGGTCTGATACCCTGGCCATCCTGTAAATTCTATGAGAAGAGACTCAGTATAAACTGTTCCATAATCTTACTGGGTACAAAGGTCAGGCAAACCAGCCTATAATTACCAGGATCCTCCTTCCCACCCTTTTTGTGAATGGGTGTCACACTGGCCAGCTTCCAGTCCTCTGGAACCTCACCAGTGAGCTGGGACTGTTGCTAAATGATGGAGAGTGGCTTCACAAGCTCATCTGCCAGCTCCCTCATCACCCTTGGATGGATCCCATCTGGTCCCATGGATTTATGAATATCCAAGCGCCTCAGCAGTTCTCTGACTGCCTCCTCTTGGATAACAGAGGGTCCATTCTGCTCCTTGATATCATTGAGCAGCCCAAGAGGACAGTTATGAGGGCAAGTCTTCTCACTGAAAACTGAGACAAAGAAGGTTTTAAGCACATATGTCTTCTCCTCATCTGCAGTATCAAAGTTCCTTTCTGCATCTAATAAAGAATAAAGGTTAGTCTTACTCTTCCTTTTACCCTTAATATACTTATAAAAACATTTTTGTTATCCTTGGCAGCAAAAGTCACCATTTTAAGTTCAAACTAAGCTTTAGCCTCCCTATTATTTTTTTATACATGCTGTAGCAGTCCTGTTAAATAGTACCTGAGAAACTTGATCCTCCTTCTAAATATAATACATCCTTTTTTTATTCCCGAGTTTCTCCAAAACCTGCTTGCCCACCCAGGCTGGACGTTTGCCTTGTCAACTCATCTTTTGGCACACAGAAACAGAGTGTTCCTGTACCCTCAATATCTCCATTTTGAGGCATACCCACACTTCCTGAACGTCTTTATTTTTAAGGACTGCTTCCCAAGGAACTCTTTGAATAAGTCTCCTGAACAGGCCAAAATCTGCCCTCCAAAAGTCCAGTGTAAAAGTCTTACTAATATCCCTCTTGACTTCACCAAATATTGAGAATTTTATGATTTCATTATCACTTTTCCCCAAGTGGCCTCCAACCACCACATCTTCCACCAGCCCATCTCTATTTGCAAATAACATACCTAACATAGTCCTTTCCCTGTTGGGACCACCCAGCTGTGACAAAAATTTGTCCTCCACAAACTCTAAAAAATTCCTAGACTTCAGCTGTATTGAGGTCCCAACAAATGTCTGGCAAGTTGAAATTGCCAACAAGAACTAGGGCTGATGATCCAGAAACATTCTCTAGCTGTTTATAGAATGAATTGTCCATCGCTTCTTCCTGGTTGGGTGGACCATAACAGACTCACAGTAGGATGTCAGCCTTGTTGGCCTTAGCCCCAAGTGTATATCACATATAGTGATATGTGATACACGAATTGCATCACTGTATGTGTTACTAACAGTTCAAAAGGCACTCTTCAGTGCAGCTCTGAAAGAACCAAATTTTTTTAAACTGCTACACAATTTTTGACACCAAACTATTTGGGTTCACTATCTTAGAAATTTGAGTGACTATGATCAACATATCTTAAAATGTCAGTAGGATTAGGAGCTTATTCAGTTAGTATCTAAATAGACTAAGAGATTTGCAAAACTGGTGATGGATTTTTTTTGAGATATATTGTATTTTGTTTGTCTTTAAAGGGACAGT